CAAACTAGCCGTCACCTCTTCCTCTAAAAATGCATACCACATTACTTCCATTTTAACGAACTCACCAAGCTTCACCGTTAAATCCTATTAATACCTCAACATTACCGGCAATTTGCCGAGCACCAGTGTCCATGCTTTTTAGGTTAGAATCCTCGTTTGTGAAATAAGAACACAATTTCAATATTGGATACCGTAAGGTCAGCCAATTTCCTCGAGTATTTCTTCACGAAGCTAACTGTTCATTTGAAGAGATTTTAGAGCTGCTTTGAACAAACACATTGACAGTTGCCAACGCCCTCCTCGAAACCGGTAGGAAATGTCAAGGCGCTTTTTGGGACTGCAAAAACTCTGATTTACAATAATAACAATCATAACTGGATCCAGACTGGAAAAAAGTCAATGACTCTCATTATGATCGGTATCTGGAGATTAGCATCTTTTCTTTATTATTTTTTATCGTCGACGTCATAATTAACGCGATTATTAAGGTTTTTACAATTTAAATTGACTTATCCACGGATCTGGGACCTTGACTGACAGTTCTGGGGCTAAGAACACGTTTGCTTAATTAACGCGTACCGAGTGCGATATTGTTATTTGAATAAATAAATTTAAGGTAATCTTGATATGCTTGCAGTTTTGAAATTTTCTTATTAGTATGAAAATTTCAGCTTTAACCCCAACACACATTTTAATTGCCTGATTTTGCGATTCGTTGATTGTGAGTGAGTCAGGATGCAGGAATTTTATTAATTTATTAATTAATGCATGGGTACGGCTAGAGGAGGCTGATTAGTGATTAGTATTAGTAATTTCACCGGCCGGGCTACTCAAGGATCAGTTTAAAGGCCCACATTGTTTGACTGCGTTATATTATTCTGGTTTAATGGAGACAAACTGTTAGGTGTTAAGAGACAAACAAGGTTGAACTCTGACAATAAGTAGAATAGTTTCGGAAACTAAGTCAACTATTGTGAAGAGAAACAATTAACGACGACATGAGATGTAGTAAATTGCAAACATTGCTGGTCAGTTGAAGCTGAACTGCGGAAGTTGTGGAAAAAATATGCAACAGTTTAAATAAGTTCGAATATTCATATTATTCACTTGCATGTAGGCGACTATTAAATAAATTGGGTTGAAATAAAAGAAAAAATATTTTATGGACTGGAAAGATACAAGAAGCACTTGTAAAGGTTAAGGCCAAAGAAATAGAAACAACAAAATCGTATGTAGAAAAAGTAGTACAATCAGTGTTTACCAACTGGGCTCACCTCCTTTTTTTAACATTTACAGGACCATTAAAACCAAAGTCATTTTACATAATTTGCATAACAACTAACACCAGTCTTTTCACTTCTGGTTTCGGGGGAAATGCATTTAAGTTTGTGTTATACTTTTTTTAATGGGATTAGTATTTGTTAAAATAGATGAAACCTCTAAAATTTGAGATTTTGGTGATTCAAACATTTTTTCCACATAATTAATCATTGTTGAAAAAGTAAAAGTGTTCGTGTCGATTTAGAAGAGAAACAAATTTTGAGGATTTTTTAGAGTCCCCACATTTCAGAATGCAAATGATACGCCACTGGTCCTACCCTGAGTGGCAGATTACGATGATTCAAGCTGTGATTACCGTGATTTCTTTACTACTCGTACTTACTATTTAGATTCGATTGTGATAATTATTGTTGACTCAAAAGGAAAAATAAATTTTGAAATCTTTAGTATATCTGCATCTATAATCCAAGAAAAAATTAAAATTTTGTCCTAAATCAAACATTGTAAAAGTACATGATTTCGTTATTTAAAAAATAAATAAAAAATGCATGTAAACACTTCGTTTTAATCAGTTAATGATTTCGAAAAAACAACCAAATCTGGGTCTAGAGGTACCTGGTTAAGGGGAAAAGATCAAGAGGTCTTTCAGAAATGGAAAAAGTGGCAAAGGAAGGATTTTACAAAGAAAAGACATCTACAAACGGGGAAAATACACTGCAGAAAGGAATTCGGAGATTGGTTTAAGATGAATCGTATAAAGTAGATTTAGAACATTTTAAGAAAATCTTTGAAAGTAGAAGGCACATTAGATATAAAATTAAACATGTATTAAAATAGCGATGAACAGCGAAAGTTAACAAAAACAGCACATTTATACAAAAACATAAGAATTAGAACCAAAATTGTCAAGTCATTTTAATAAAGCAAATACGAGTACATGTGGAAAGAAAACCTACATCGATATTAGAATCAGGATTGTAAGCGAAGAAAACAAAAAGAAATTTTTAAAGTGATTTATGCAGAAATTTCCTCGCCCCTGGAGCAGATTAGAATAAGTCAAATTTCTTAGATCATAATTTATAAAAAATTCTGCAAATTTTATTAGATAACTATAATGTTTTATATGTTATTACACTATATTTATCGAATTTTGGAAAAATTAGATAAACCATTTTTTATTTAATCAAAAAAATAAATTGATTCATTCATTTTTTACTTCCCGAGCATAAGCGAAACAAGTACATATTGTACCAGGGTCAATCCGACGAATGAATGGTTTCGTGTTTCTAGACGTTCCATGATCCCTAGAGTACGAAAAAGTAGGTCCGTGTTTCCGTTTGTCGGTTTGTCGTCTATCTCGATTTTTATTAAACAAATAATCTCTGAAATTATAGCACTGATTGCTGTCAAATTTTAAATGTATGGTAGGAATATTCTGTAGATTGTAAAACGCTAACCAAAATTGGTTAGCATTTCATCCACACCAATAATTTGATGACGTCTCCTTAGAATTTTTAATAAAAGTGATTTAAATTTGATAAAATAACATTCTCTTGCACAAATTTTTAGAAAAGCAGGATTTGTTGAGCTGTAGTTCAGAGAGGGAAATTACTTTCGACTATTTTTATCAGTTTTTAAACGTCGAGGAAACATGAAATAGCCATTCGCCAAATTACTTTTAGCAATTAAAAAGGAGGATTTTTGGCTAAAAACGAAGACACGAATAGATAAAAAAGAAGTGTATCGAGACAGTGAAAATAGATGGCAAAGCAGCTTAAACAGTTGAAGAAGCTTAAAATCAGGCTGAAGTGAAAATAATCTTGTGCAGTAGAAAAATACACAGTGGTGAACAGAAGAGAAGATATAGTAGATAAATGAAAAATTTAGGGACTGCAAAAAACCCCGGGAGAAACATTCTTGAAGAAGAAAACATTTTTTGATTGATGGAACAAAAATCCGGCTAAATTCGAAAACCAGAATCAATACAAAATATGCATAACGAAGTGTTGTCCCTTTTATGTATTATGAAACAGTAAAAATTAACAAAAACAAATTTAAAAGTTTATGAAAATTTTCGAACACAAGAGTTATATGTGTACATGTAACCTATTTACTTATGAAAACATCCACACTAGAAGAGAACGAAAAAAAAACACAAAAGTAAACTGAAGAAAATAAGAATACAAACAGTTGGGATGGTAGGAGGCAAGATTGGCCCGATTTAAACACGATTTAAATTAAGTTAAAAAATTACTGATTTCAATCATGCTTGTTTTTCCTTATTTTCTTTCAAATTAAGAAAATATAGCTCACAATACGGTTTTTTTAAGTGCAATTAAAATCAAATTGAGTCCATCCAACTAACAGCCGGCTACTTTCATGTTTTCTTCACGACTCCTATAGCATGATAGGTCTTCCTTATACTTGTGAAAGTGTGTTAAAATACGTAGAAAATGAAAATTACATGAACTAAATAAAGTATCACTCAAAAACTGAATAAACACAATTAAAACTAATAACTTTAGATTTTTCTTGCTACGAGTACTTTTAGAATTTCCTTTCCAAATAATTGAACAAGCTGGTAGCACATGTGTTTGTACCAGAAAAACAACTCAAAATCCAAAGAAGACAGAAATGTATTTAAAGAAAATTTTGGGTAGTTTATGGGTATGAAGTAGAAATTGTGTGGCAAAAAAATACCCAGAATTTATTAAAATAGATAGAACGTCCAAAGTTTGAGATTTTGGTGAATCAAACATTTTTCCACAAAATTAATCGTTACTGAAAAAGTAAAATGTTCGTGTCAGGTTTCCACTAACAAGAAAGAATTTTTAGAAACAATTGTTAACGTAAGCCCAAAAAAATTTGAACTTCGAAAAAGCTTTCTTTTTATTACTCAAGCAAAACTAAAGAGAATGGGCCTAATTTGCGAGCATAAGACGAAAAAATATGGTGAATAAAAAAGAAGCATTAAAAGGAAGATATTGATGGACAGAGGGAAGCAGAATTTTTTTTATAGCAGAATGAGTAATAGAACAGGCATCAATGTCATAACAAATGAAAAACATATAGAAGAGAAACGATTTTTGAGGATTTTTTAGAATTCACACATTTCAGAATGCAAATGTTACGCCACTGGTCGTATCCTGAGTAGCGGATTATGATGATTCAACATGTGATTACCGTGATTTATTTACCACTCGTAGTTACTATTTATATTTTATTGTCATAATTATTGTTGACTCGGAACGAAAAATAAATTCTGTTTTTCTAAAATCGATAAATGAATACGAAAAGTACGAAAAAGTAGGCCCCGCGTTTCCGTCTGTCGGTCTGTCATCTGTGTCGATTTTTATTAAAGAGAATCTCTGAAATTACTGCACTGATTGTTGTCATAGTTTGTATTGATATATGGTAGAAATATTGTGTAGATGGTAAAACGCTAACCAAAATTGGTTCAATCATCTCCACTAATAATTTGATGACGTCTGGTTAGAATTTTCTTAGTAAAAGCAATTTAAATTTGACGAAGTAGCATTCTCTTGCACTTGTGGTTGATGAATTGTAAGATACAAATTTTGGCGTGCCGGAAATCGCGATAAGGGTTTCCTGGGACAGGGGTTAATTCGTGACATCCGCACCGACGCCACGCCGGAGACCGGATTTCGAGTTTTCGACCGTCGCCGAAGAGAGATTGAAGCAGTTTTTTTTTGTTACAGAAGAGGCGAGCTGGAAATAGTGGTTGACCCAGACCTTCCGTGCCCTTATCGAAAAACGACCAGTAAGTACACCATTCCATTACACTGTCACTGTTACTATCTATATTTTTGTAATTTGTTTGCAAATAAAATGTCACAAAATCAGTTTCTATATATGTAAATTTTTTAAAAAGCAGGATTTGTTGAACTGTACCTCAGGGAAGGAGCCTTCGACCATGTTTTTTAAACTGTATATAGACATTACATTTTACATTTACAAACAAATTTTAATAGTTGTTTTGTAATCACTAAATCAAAATTTCAACAAAAACAAGTTGTTTTGTAATTATTAACAAAATTACTTGATAAAATTTTAAGGTGACGTTATCAAGTTTTTGGAAAGGATGAACAGATGAATTCAAATTAGTGCTTTACGGTGTTCACGATAACCTTAAAAAGTGTGGAAAATTTTAAAGCAACCGGTTTTTTCAGTTGTAAAATTTTAATTTTTCTATAGGTATGCATAAAATCAGTAATAAGTGTAAATAGGACTTGTGTAACGAGATTTTGATATGACATTATCCAGTTGATACCATCTACACGATATTCATAACATAGGTCTAAGATTTGATGACAGCCGGTGTAGAAGTTTTTGGACATTATCTGTTAAATAGAATTTAACACAGATGGCAGAAGACAGACAGACAGACAGACGGAGAGACAAAAACGAGATAAATAGGTATCTCGGGGCCATGAAACGTTTAAGAAAATATGAAAGTAGTCACCTACGTGATATTTTTAAAATACACCTAAAATTTCATTTCAGGAAAGTTTATAAGTTTATCGACATATGGAAATGGGAAACCCACATTTTTTTATTTTAGAAACTTTAAAACGTCGAGGAAACATGAAATTAGCCATTTGCCAAATTACTCTTGGCAAGTAAAAAGGTAAAAAGGAGGATTTTTGTATGACGAAAATGACGATTAGAAAGAGCAGATACGAGACGAAAATTGTTGGCAAAAAGGCAAACAATTTGAAAAGTTGAGGAAGCTTAAAATTTAAGAAAGTGATTGTCCCCCCAAAACGTTAATCTTCTGTTTGTTCAATGTAAACTAGTGAAATATTGTAATAGGGTCCATCAGTTGAACAGTTAACTACTTTCTTGACGTTCCATGACTTCTGTAGTGTGATAGAATAGATCTCCCATTTCAGATTCTCTTTCTGACGTCTCTGTGAATATATGTTAAAAATACGTGGAAAATGAAAATTACATGATCTAAATAAAGTAGAAACCACTAACAAAACTGATAAAATACAATTAAAACTAATAACTTTCCATATTTCTTGCTACTTTTAGAATTGTATTTCCAAATAATTGAGAAAGCTAGCAGCAGATGTGTTTGTACAAGAAAAGACAACTTAAATAAAATCTAAAGAAAAATTTACCAGAAACTGATGACAGTGTGTCTAAGAATGTAATAACTTTATTCATCAAACGTTCTAGACCTACGTCAACACAGCAATGCATTAAATAAATTTGGGACCTTGATAGGCCCCCAGCATCAACAAACCGCACGATCTTTCGAGAATATATTGCTACATTAGTTCGTTCCGCTGGTAACAAGTCAACTATTAAAATATCACTTGTACCATCATTTTTTATATGCAAATGACATTTCACACAATGCTCCCAGTCGTTCCAAATGTCAGCCACGCTTGCCAAACGAAATAAAATAATTAACGATTCAAAGATTTTACATGAAAGTCACGACATACTATAACGCAACTTGTAATCTCTAATATAACCCCAACAATTTTAATCCGATAGCGATCTCGTGTCGTAGGCGCCAAACGTTAATTTTTCAGGTGCCTAAGAACGTCAAGCCATAAATATCAAAAACCCGGCAAATCCATCGACGTTTACACAGACTTCCGTGTTACTTCGACTGCAGAACCAATCAGATAAAAAAGTCTATATGCACACAACGACGAATTTGTTTCGCTTTCATATTTAGCCTCCAAACTGTGCAAACACGGCTATCTGTTGATTATGCGATAAACATATAAACGGAAAAAAATCCTCGTTTAACCAAATCTACATGTTAATTCGGACCTTGTGTGAACCGCCAATTAAACTAGCGTTATTTTTAAGTACTTACCGACGCGGATTAATTGACCTTCACTAAAAACGAAGAAGACCTAAGAAAAAAACCAAGGTCTTGGGTGAGTAACTAAAGAGGAATGAACAAAACGTTTTAGTAGTAAAAATAATAATAGTGTCGTCATTAGACGATGACTTAACTCATACAATACGACACGGATATTTAATTCAGTTAAGCGCTGGTTGCAACAATCGAAAGTATTTTTATTCTTCGGCGTCGGCGTCTTTCGTCACTTCGTAAAGGGGGTTTTCGTGCTGAGAATCCGAAGTTGAGGTGCTTTGGCCATACATGGGATTGTCGAAGGACTTGGGGATGTCCAGGATGGAGCCGCTTTCTGATTGACCGTCGATTATGAGGTTTTCGTCCGTGTTGTCGAAACGGGCGAAGAAAGGGGTGTTGAAGATGGAACCTCTGCCACTGCTGAATCTTAAATAATATCACTTTTTTAATTTAATATAACACCTTTGTAGCAATTTACAAGCCAATTTTTGACTATTTTTTTAATATACCTCAGTGTAATGTGTTCATGTGACAAGCATGTGACTTTTGAATTTCAAATCAGGGACTCACATTTCATTTCTTATCTGGAGGGTCTGCCTGTCGGTCTCATAGATTAGATAATTTGGCTAAATTTAGAGGTACAACATTCATTGTTGTTGACACAGTTTCATAAATGGTTTCCGTGTTCACCTATATTTGTAGGTATTTTTTATTTCTATTGGATCAACTGCGCCATACTGTTTTTATTTGTGCAGATTATATCAACGGGAGGTCAATTAATGTCAAGTTAGTATTATTGCATGACAATCAAGTAGCTATAAATAATTATCTCTTTTAATTTCAAAAGTAAATAGAAAACTCAATTAACCGACCACTCCGGACCACGTTAATTACTAAATCAACATTAATCTAGCGTCTAAACGTTGACCTTTAACGTACACATACTTTTTTTCAGTAATGATGGAATTCATTTATAACTGCACATTATTGTGTGGAATTTCAGAAGACAGATATTACTAAGTACCCAAAATGACATCATCTGTCTACGATCCATTAATCACATTAATTAAAAATACGTCTATATTTCGTTACTTGAACGTGTCTTATTTTGTAACTAGTTACTTATTCATTAAAATTAATTTAAATCGTTTTAAGTAGGTACAAATATTGATTGGTTTTTCTGACAAGATGAAGGATCCCATGTCATATCGCAGCCTTTTTCAAAGTCGTCTGAAATTTAACGACCTTCGATTGATACAAAAATCTCTGAATGTTATCATTTTTGTTTGTAATCACTCACTGTTATCATTTTTGTATGCTTCGTCAACAAGATATAAATCCACGATCTTTATTATTTCTAAAAAAGAGGGAAAACCTTATATTTGTTTGAACTATATATTATTGTCTAGTTTTCCTTAAAACAACTCCCAATTGTTGCAAATCCACAAAAGTCACATAACAACAGAAAAACTTGTTTACGTCAATCTTGACAGGTGTCCCTTTTGTACACTTTTTATTAGTTTTTACCTATTTTTATGCCTTCGGAGTACCCCAAACCGTCCAAATATTCCAACAAAGTTCTCATAGGACCTTGGATCAATGACCGAGCTAACGCTACTCCATACACCCCCGAACCCACCCCCAAGTATTCAACAACCTACGAAGAGCATTTTCCCCCGAAACAGAACACAACCAGCAACTCTCCACTGATATGGGACAAGATTATGACTTCAGAACAGTCTTGTTTGTTTTCTGACGTGGGAAAATACAGATACCCTAACTACTTCGACAACTTCACTACTTTGTATGATTTGTCGTACAACCATTTTCCAAAAACGTACGACACCAGTATACACAGAACCTGGCGCATGAGGAAAGACATTCACGAACCTTTTGACGAATATTTGGCGAGTTTTGGTAACAGTACTAATTATGGGCTTGTGGAAACCAAAAGGGAAGAGTGGGAGTGTCACAATTCTGAGTGTAGGACGCGTCGGTGCACGAGTTATAGTCGGGATTTCAGAGTTCCAAGGGCTGAGGATTACAGGTTCCAAAGATATTTTGTCTGTCTTGTGCAGTCGTCGAAAATGGATAAAGCCAGAGGGGTCAATGTGGATCTAAAGCAACACCAACATCGTGTTAGCAGTCTGAAAGATATGCCTCAAAGGTTGAAGAACCAGTGTAATCCCATTACGTGGGAGTGCACAGTAGATATGACAAAGGGCAAAAGAGAGAAATGTAAAGAAGGGTAGTGTTGGATAATTTTTATTTTTGTGTAAGTATGCTCAAAAAAATAAAAAATGTAGAATATTTGTCAGGTGGGTGTTACTTGTTGAAAAAGAGCCGTAATTTTGTTAGAATTTTTCCAAATGGCATTGGTTTGTTTTGGCTTTTGCTCTCTTTTCTGGAATTCGTGGTTTCCTTAAGGATATTCCTTTAGAATAACGTATTCTTTTCAAGTACGCCTTGTATGATTGCCATATTCTAATGTTTCCTTCCTTACGGATTGCAAATTTCTCGATCTACTAAAGATAACTTCTACTCCTGTTTAGCTTATTGCGTTTTGACCTCAATGTCGGTGCATTGTTATATTAGCCTAAGCAGCACTGATCTCCAGAAACCATTTTCATTTAGTGGAATTATGTTTCTTTTTAAATAATGCGTTGGCGTTGGATTACCTCTAAAGATATAGTCTGCATAAGCTTGATTCGACACAGTTTCTTTCCACTTTGAATTGTCTTTCGATTTGCAAATGGACCAACATTCCAGGAAAAACTTTCCTGTTTCCTAAAATTAGATTTTCGTCCTTGTCAACGACTGACCTTAACAGTAGAAAACCTGGAAAAGTCCTGGATAATCTTCGGTTGTACATAAATTTGGTATTTACATTAAATTAATTTTTTAACCCACGACTGAAAAAATGGTTGTTACAATTTTGACACCTTTGTCTCTGTTAGTGCCTCTGGCGGGGACCTGTTTCACCCCTCTCCACCCGTAAGGGTGGGAGCCAGGGCCACCACCACCTTCGAATACAGGGAACATTCATTCACTATTAATCATTCATTCATCATTCACTCTTCAAGCGGTTAACATAGTCTTTATATTCAATCTCTGGACCTAACGGTCATAATATCATACTCGCTCTAGAACACACTTGTTATTTATTTAATAAAACTATAAAACGACTGTCCGCTGCTCTTATTCATAATCCATCAAACTTAACAGTCTCTGTATGTATGTCTGTGGTACCGTAGCCCCCAAACGGATGAACTGATTTCAGTGTGTTTTTGTTCGAAAGCTCGTTTGATCGGGATGGTTTTCAGATATATTTGATCGTAATAACTTAAACTACTTTTTACTTTGACGCATTTATCTGTATGTGGATTTGTCTGTGGCACCGTAACTCTTTAACGGATGAACCGATTTCAATAGGGTTTCTTTTGTTTGATAGCCGTTTCACTTGGGAAGGTTCTGGATGTTACTTTCCTATTCCATATATATCTAACCCATACATGATTTTTACGGATCCTTGATCTGTTGCTTCATCTATCAATATGCTGATTTTTTTTTAATATCTAATTGCTTCCTGTGATTGTCCAACTACATATTTTCTGATTACTGTGGCTTTTGTTCTGACCATATTTTTCAAACCATTAATGAACTGATCATAAAGCACAAAACCAAATTTCAAGCATTTTTGGTTTTCATTTAAGGTCTTTAAGTCTCATTTCTCATGTGTCTTGTAGAACCTGGATGATTTTTTATCACTCTTATTATTCTATTTCGTTGTTTTAAATTAGATTACCGTATTTCAAAAATGCAAAACCTCCTAGTGGATCGCTATATAAAAAGCGAATATTTCGAACAAGTAAAATGTACAACCTGGCAATTTCTGGGAAAGTAGCAGCTTCGAAAAATTATGATGTTTGGAATACTAATAATAATTTTCTTTTTCTTGATTTCGATTTGATAAATAAAAAAAAGTTGCGCCCCGGCATTAATCCCCAGACGCTTTAAACAATAAAGAAAACTAACAACAAACAAAATCGAGGAAGAATCATAAACCACAAGTGTAGGAGTATGTTATTTAATAAAATTGTAAAAATCTATACAAAAAGAGTCTGCGTGGAGGTCATCAAATTCTTGCTGGGGATGATTAGACAAATTTCGGTTAACAATTTACCATCTGTACACCTCTTAAAAAACATAAAATTTTACAACAATTGCTAAAATTATGTCCCCACCCTTTTCGTGCTCCTGGGGTCAAGAAACGTCGTGAAAACATGAAAATAGCCATGGCTTCACTTACGTTCGGAAAGTAAAAAGACAGAGTAGTCGTCACCATCAGCAAAATTGGTTAGAATCAAAGACAAGTAATCTAAATGAACCAGTCTGTGGGCCTATATTGGAAAAAGGTACGGGTTTGACATCAAAACTTATGGGTCTATAAGTTGTATAATCTCTTGTGGTTAAAATTATGGAAAGCATAATAATAGTGAAGCACTTCTGATCTGATCTATTGAGCTAAATCTGTTCACTTGCTTTATTAATGATTGGTCTTTAGAACTTATAGATGGAGTCTGCTTAGATTTTTCTAAGGCGTTCGATAAAGTTCCATTGAAGTTACGTATAATAAAATTCAATTCTTATGGCATCAGCGGAATGTTAATAAAATGTGTGGAATGCTTTCTTACAAATAGAAAGTTCTGAGTAAAATTTGGGAAAGTGATGCTTTTGACGCATTAAGTGGTGTGCCCCAAGGATCTGTTTAAGGACCCAAGTTATTTCTTCTGTATAATACCGATGACATAAAGTTGGCTAATGTTTTCAAACAACAGTTTTCAAAAAGGAATTAATATTATAACATATATTTATTATTTTCAACTGGGATGAAAAATGTGTAAGTTCACTTAATGAATCTAAATGTAAAGTCTAAGAAAAATCCAGTACGAAATTATGAAATAAAGGGTGAAAAAATTAACATAGACAAGTCACATATTTATAAGCTGGTGCTCTTTGGCAGTCGAAGGTCTAACTACAATAGACTCATAAAACTTACAGAACTCTCAGATCGTAAGCAACTCGTTTAAAGTTTTAAGATGGATAAGAAAAGTCGCCACTGTTTTTATATTAGAGAGCTCCGAAGATTAGGAGGACAACGATTCTTCCTGTCGGTTCTGCCATTCAAAGCAAAAATTATGAAAAACTTCTGCGCAGTCCGTGTAGTAAATAAACAACTGGAATAAACCACCTACGGAAATAATCGGAAAATGTAAAAATGACCAAGAATCCCATTGAGAAGTACTGATTTTCCCATTTTCACCAACTTTTTGATTTTTTTAGTTCTACATAATATAGCTTCAACGAAGTGGCAGTCTATTTTTTTGATTTTATGCAATTTCAAAATCACTGTCAACCCTTAACTAACGCACTGAAAATTTGGTTTTCGAACATCCGTAAGAAGAAACACAACACCTACGACTAAAGTAAACAGAAGATGTCCCTGGCTCCAACCTGATAAAATGATAACAACCTTGATAGATGATAACTTCAAGTGCGTAATCAATTCATATCCATTATCTCTCTAATAAATATATACAGTGTGGATAAAGTTCAACACAAACTTGTAATTCAGTTAACTAACGTTTTTTTTTTAAATTCTCGCATAGGTCAATTTTATTTTTTAAAATGACAAGATTTTTTAACCCTCCCAACTTTTTTTACTAAACCTGGTAGATCCTTTTATAGTTAAATGGTCATGGTAAGCATTTTTAGGAGAAAATTAAATTTGGAAAAACAAAAATTCGATTTATTAACGACTCGCAATGTATGTCAAATGACCATTATAAGATTTTAAACCCACACAATTGTATTTGAAAACCTATCATCACTGCCACATACCAGTCAATCTACGTGGAAATTGGAATCTAACTGACTTTTTTTGCCAAATAACAAAACAAAACGACTTACCTACTGACCATGACATTGATGGAACCATCCCCATACACATAAAAAACAACGCCAAAGAAAACCAAAACTGAGACAAGACTCCCAAAAACAATCGACAGCCCGCTTCCACCCTCCGCATAATAATTCCCAGACTTATAAATGTGCAGACTCTCAGCCTTCGCCGACTGCAAGAACCCCCGAAATCTCTCCGCTTCCTCCAAACTCCTCCCACTATACTCCTTCTCACTGAAAACAACCTGCACCACCTCCTTCCCCAAATAATTCTTCACCCGACTAACATAGGTATCCGCTTCGAACTCCTTCAAGTGCTTCTTCACCTGCTCCAGAGTCGGTCCCTCCCCAGGTGTGTACGTCAAGTACGCACCACAAATCTCCCGACAGAATTCCTCGGGAGTGACAGGATCCGAGCATTTTAGTTTCTGGGTGGTTTGTTTAGTGGGACAGAAGATGGGTTGGTCGTGGCAGAGGCAGCCATATGGGTCTGAACATTTTCGTGGATCAGTCATGATGACGACGTTGTCGTCCGGGCTCATGTTGTTGAACGGAAGGTTTTTGTCTGTGATCTTGACGGAGTTGACGATGGCTGTTGTGTAGGTGTGGTGGTCGATAGGGGTGTGTTCTAGTTTCGGTAGAATGACATCATCGTGTCGGCATGGAATTTTCTCTTTGTCCGGAATGGCGGCATTGTTATCGGCCAGACGCCAGCTGTCAGGGTCGTACCAGTCGTAGTAATTTAAGGGTTTGAGGTTGATGCCTTTGGACAAAGAGAAGTTGATAGGAGCGGAGATAACGTGTTTGGGGAATGTTGGTTGTTAATGGTGGTACATTTTTTAAATTTGACTCTCAAAATTGCATGTAATGAAAGAAAATATTTATTGCATGAAATCTTAAAAGGATTATCGTAACAATCGGAATTTGAGAAATCTTAGTTTATGTAGTAAGTACTACTTATTTAATCTCCCCAATTTCGAATCAATAAAAATATAATTTTTATTAATGTAACATAAAAAATAAAATAAATTATATTGAGCGTATAAATAACAAACTTATAATACAACTAGTTCCTTTTTTGGACAGTTACATAATCATATTTTTCCCAGTTATTGAAAAGTACCTTTCTCTCAAAATTGGACGAAATATAGTCCACAATCTAAAAAACGACAGACATTATAATTATTATTAAAATATTTTTATACTCATTTATAATAACATGTATTATGTATTACCACAACCACTTGAGACCTACTTACTTATAAGAATGTATTTTGACTGATTTTCTAAGCTTAAAAATTGTCTTCATACGAACAAACAGCAAGTAATAATTTCTCATTAATCATCATATTCAATATTTAAGTTCAGTTATTGTAATGTAACTTGATAAAATGCCCAAATATGAAGTAACTTATCTTATTTTCTCGTAAAAAAAAACAAATTCTTTAAAACCAATCTGCAAAAAAATTACCACTTTGAAATGTTTTATCTCTGATGTAATATTGATTTACTCGAAATAATTGTTTCATTGTTACTATTACTCAATAGTCCACAAACGTAAAATCAATAATTATTTGATATAATATTAACGAAATAACTGTCTAAAATATTAAAATAAATATAGAACAAGATAATTAAGTAGGAGACCTTATATATTTTTACATATTCTCATTAGCCTCTGTCTAGGCCTTATAACCATAGTTTATTTTTGAAATTAGACGCGATGTTGTCAAGTTATTCTAATTTTCTTCCCGATCGTAAGCTGTGGACCCTATCCACCGGATGACTGGCTCCTTTCATATTTTCTCGACGTTTCGTGAGCTCAAGAGCCTCCCGTTTCCATCCGTCTGTCGTCTGGGTCGTTTTTTATTAACAGATAATTTTTGAATCTACCGGGCTGATTGTTGTCAAATTTTACATATATATCTCTAAATGGTAAAACGTTAACCATAATTTGGCTAATCCCCACCAACAATTTGATGACGTCGCCTTGATTTTTTTTTTTAAACACTATTAAATTGTATGGAATAACATACTCCTGTTCTTATAGTTTATGGATCAATGAATATTTAATATTCAGAAAATAAGAAGTATCATAATAATGTTTGCTCCATTGTAGGTTAATTAATAATTTTAGTCGCCTTCTCTGGTTTGAGGAAATAAAACCATTCAAATTCTTCATTTTATTCTGGTTAACCAGCTTGACACGTGCTTATGGTCGCATTCTTGCAATGTATAAACATAAATAATCGAAGTTTAGCATGTACTGATAATATATTTTTCCCCGTGGCATGTTTTAAACCTTGGTTCTTGCGAGTTTTGAATAATAAAGGTAACTCATTTTCGTTTACGTTGCTAAATACTAATATAGCTGTTTATGTCTGCAAAGTTTACTTGTATATTTGTTGTTATTAATATTTTGTTATTCGTAAAATAAAAAAAAATAGTTTAGGGTGGTTGATGGAATTTTCCTTGCTTTAAAGTACAATCCAAGAAATACAGCTTCTTCGAAAAATGATAAAATTTGATTTTGCGAATTAATTTTTTTCATAATAATCCCCATATAAGTTAAAGAAATCAAGTAATAATATATAAAATTTAAATAGTAATCATTATGAAAATTTTTTGGTGATAATAGGCAAACAAACCGAAACGGGAGATCTATTTTTCAAATTCTGGGGGTCATGAAGCGTCGAGAAAAGGAAAGATTACACTCGAGAAGTAGAAAAATACTTGTTTTTTTTTTTGGAATATTTTATTCTACTCAGTGTTCATTTTTTTTTTATTTAAACTGCATGTAAAAAGACCGTTCTGTGCATGATATTTTCGTAATTTGAAAAGAAAAAACAAGAATGAACAAAAACATGACTGACCTGGCCTGGCCTGACCTGACCTGTATCGGTTATTACGTCATTGATAAATAATGGCCGCACTTTTGTTCAATATGTTGTTATTAATGTAAAGAACCCACCTTTTTACTGTTCGCTAAAAGTTTATTACCATTAAAAGTACTCATGTCCTTGCACTTATTAAGAAAATATCACAACCATGAACTTTTCAAAAACTTACATTTTCTATTGTCCTTAAATTCTACAACCACATCATTCGAAAAGTAGATCTCTCCGTCCTGCGGAAACGTCAATTCGATGGCCGTCAATCTATCCACATACACTGGAGCCGAATTAACCGCCGCAAAATGCACTCCTTTGCAACCAGCCGCCAATTTACCATCAACCCAATTATCAGGATTTGATATGTCAGTGTCAAACCTCCAAATCACTTCTTTCGATTCGACCAAACCCAAAATGACAATCAAGAACACAAAATCGCACTCGCCTCTGAACACCATTGTTTTAAACTGCGTACATCCTCCTTCCAACGCCCACTGCAACCCGATACCTCCAGGGGTATCTGGTGAATTCTAATATTTCCTAAGCGCCCCCTTGTCTCCACGTCCGCATCACATCGAAAACCAATCCTCTAGAAGCTACATGTGGTCGTGTGAAAACAACCGGCCCCGAGGGCGATCCTTGTGGTGCACCAACCACAGTACATCTTGCGGTCGTTCGGAAGCAGTGCCCTGTGTCGCAGCTACGACTTTTTCGGTAAAATCAGTGACACTGAAAACGAAAAGAGAGTGAAACCGAGAGTGCAGCGAAACGGTTAAAACTGCAAGGTAACGACTAATGATATAGAATTTTTTCTGCAAGAAATGCAATCAGGCGGCCGCGGTTTCGGGTGAAATTGCGAAAATGCTGTTTCGGCGACAGTCAATGTCAGATTTGTCGTCGCGGATTTTGATGCGGATGGGTGGTTTCGGGGATTTTTAGCGTTTTTGCGATTGTGCGTCGAAGTTGGTTGCGGAAAAGTGGTTATCTGACGGAGCGTTTTTGCGGTTTTTATAGACTGAAGGAATCGCGAGCTAGGCTTTTACTGTTGTGGAGACAGCATGGCTCGTTTACGGTCAAAGATATCTTTTTTTTGTGATGATATTTATACGAATTACTTGAAAATACCAGACTTGATTGAGTGATTTTGTGAAAAATGATCGTTTAAATGCGCATTTTTAAGTTAAATTAACATAAATATTAATTCGTCAGGTACCTACAGTCCAACTGTATAATTTCTACAACAAAATCGACATTGATCCTGATATTTTGACAAAAGTTTCTTAATTAATTGATATTTCAGGGTTGTAAACATATAGTAGCTTCTTTGGGATCTTCTCTTTTTGGCAATATTTGTGTGTTATTGAAGTTGTATTAAACACTAACCCATTTATTGTTCATTGACCATAAAAATGCATATTAGTGGTTTTATGCATCCACTTTCAATAAACATTAGACATATATTGTAATAATAATAATATTTAAATATGGTACGTGATAAAAAGTATGTTTGATATCGTGTGGTAATAAACCTATATAGCAGTGCTGAATGTATTAAATTTTGTCTGTCTGTCCGTCCGTCTGTCTGTCCGTCTGGCTCTCCGTCCGTTCGTCCGTCCCTCCGTCCGTCCGTCCCTCCGTCCGTCCGTCCGTCCGTCCGTCCGTCCGTCTGTCTGTCTGTCTGTCGGCCATCACGGATTTTTATTAGACAGATAATATCCGAAAGTTCTGGGCCGATTGTTGTCTGATTTTGTATTTATATTAGGAATATCATGTAGTTGGTAAAATCTTGCAAACGTTTGAAGTTATTGTAAGCACGGTAACATTTTAATCAAAGTCTATCTGTTTATCAACCCTAAAAAATTGATTAAGTAATCTCAAAATTTTGCCGAATAAATCCTATCAAAAATGTGCAAAATATCATCAGTCTGTACTTGTAATTTACCATCGCATTCATATTTTTTAGATTTGCTTATACATGGTGACTCAAAAAATTGATAAATCAGTCAAATTATTTTATTGTGTAAATCAAGAAATGTAAAACTGAATGGTTTGAAACCTTGCAGATGCTTTAAAGTCATTGTAAGCATGGTAAATGGTTAATCAAAATAAATCTGAGGATCTGTTTGGAGGGGCCGAACTCATTCAAATCAAACTAATCTCTACGTGATATTCTTCCGATGTATAAACATTAAGCACTTTCAAGTTGTTTTTCTTATCGAGGATAACCTAAGAATGCACAGTAATGGAGTCCATCGGGCAATTTGGTACTTTCATATTTGCTCGATATTTCATAACCCTAGACAAGGCCGTAGCTAGAGGGAGGCTAGGGGATGCTGAGCCTCCCCTAGGTCTAGGCAAGTAAAATGTAGTGTTTTATTCAATAAGCGGAAGTCAGAGCAATCAAAAGTCTGGACCCTAGGCACTATGATTTATTACAGTTTTCAGTTCAAACCGGCAAATTATTATTTTCCCTTGCTTATTTCCTATTTATTTCATACTTCCTAATCATATCAGTTAATCTTAAACTCTTACATTTTTCAATATTGTTTTTTCTGTTTATTAAAGCATGTATTCGATATGAAGCAATCATATTTAAACAAAGCTATGTGTAATTATTATGTACATATAGAAATCAAAAACGAATAACCTTGTTTCTATTTCACTTATACTAGTATGAAAGGTTCCTGTACAATTTCAATTTTTTTGCGAAATTTTAAATGCCTCGAGGAAGGTCTCAAGGTGGATTCATAAACAACAAGTACAGAAGTATATTATTTTATAACATTTAAATCCAACTTACTGTGAAGAATCTTGAGAGAATCTCATCACGTTGTTGCTAGGAATGCTTAATTTATTTTATTCAGTAACGGAATTTTCCTTTTTACTCTAAAAATTAGATTTATTAGACTATTTATTTAATAACAGTATGGACAGACGAAAACGGGAGTCCCATTTTTTTTCGGTCTGTAGGGACTATGAAACGTCGAGAAAACATGAAAATAGGCAGTCGCCCGATGAACTCTATTACAAGTCTTTCGTTTCCTTCTGTGTCAGTGTCGATTTTTATTGGACAGATAATTTCCAACCGATTGTTCTCAAATTTTAAATGTATGTTATATTCATTTGTTACATATCGCGTAGATGATAAAACGCCAACCAGTGTTTATTTAATCATCTCCACCAACAATTTGATGACATCTTCTCAAAAATGTTATAAAATAACATCCTGTCGCTGTACTTGTGGTTTATCAATCCTCTTTCAGTTTCTTCTCAAAATCCAGATTTTCGCAAAGAAAGCCAAAATGTATAGGAACCTTTTTATTTGACCTTTTTTTTTGTGCTTACGCACGATTTATTTCACGTTTCCTCATCATGATATCAATTAATTAATTATATACTCTTATCTTGACGCGTAATCTCAAAATTTTGAGTGGCACTTAAAACATGATTAATGAGTGAAGTAGTTTATTTTGCTTGCCTTTACTTCTTAAGGGCTCCTATTTCTGAGTCTTCTTAGAATTATGATTGTATATGAATTATATATGTAATAAGAACAGTTTAGAAGAGTTTAGTTTTCTGTATTGTCATTCTTCATCAGAAGTGATATTTATCCCGCTAAAAAGTGGGGACCATTGCCAACTTTTATTAAGAGAATCCTACACTACTTATATAAATATCCCACCTGATTTTGTTAACGTATAATAGGAGATATTCTAAAAAAAGTAGCTTTGGATCAGTTTTCTCTTATCACGGTTGATTTTTCAAATTTTTTATCTCTTTTTACATTTCTAAAAATATAAATAAGATTTTAATGGGAAACATGAAATTATATCAGTACGAAACACCAAATGTGTACTGTAATGAATGGGTGAATTTACATTTTCCATTTATGCAATGGCCATACTGGTTTTTATGTTAGCATTTTTTCTTTCTTTCTGTGTTAATTTTCGGAAATTTGAACTGGATTGCCAAGATTTTCTAACAACGACAAAGAGATAGTCTAGGAGAAACTACGTGAAATATAATTTACGAAATGCATTCAATTAGAAAAGCATTATTTGGGTCAGTTTTAACCCATCAGTGACAATATTTCAAAAGCTGCGAAAGTAGACAAAGGAACTTGGTTTTTACAAGTATGAAGCATATATTCATTCGATTTTAGAATAATAACTTTTGGACTGATTTTGCCGAAGAAATTTTTTTTGTTATGTGATTCGTGTTTCCCAGTTATAAAACAATAATCTTTTAAAAATAAAAATAAAAAAATGTCACATGTAAATTTCTGTTTCGTTTATGGTAAAACTGGAGGGTCAACGGTTTTAAAATGTTCTCAAATAGACTTTCGTTGTATAGTTAATAGTTATACCATATTTCATGATTCGAAAGTTTAAGATGAAACCTTTTCTTGATACCATATAATTATGTCTTATAACAGACATCGTCCTTTTACCTTGTTTTAACGGGAATTATGCACGACATGTTCTAATTACATTAATAGATTCGTTTTGCCTAATGTACCCTTTTCAGACATTAAGATAAGATGACGATTTCGCAATAAAGGTGCTACGTGACGTGTTTCAGTTGAAAATGTGATAATCCATGATTCATTCTTTTAAAACTATAAAGTTTTCTCTCTCTCTCTCTCTCTCTCTCTCTCTCTCTTTCCAAAATTTGGCTTTTCAAGTTCACCGCAAGAACCGATAAAAGAAAGAAATACAACTAGCATTATATGAACCAAACTCGACATCGAACAGAAACTCAAAAAGTAGGTTAAGTAACAAAAAAATATTTGTGAGTTTGATTTGTAAATATAATTATTTCTTTAATGAAATGTAATTTTGTTCTCTTAACTGGATCGTATTTTAATAAATAAAGTAAAAGCAAGTTATACTTGTTTAAAAATAACATGTTTTAATAAGCTACTTTCGTCGTACTGCTGAATCATGTGAATATTATTAAAATGTTTTTTATAACTGAATTAAACATCTTTTTCATTAAATGACCTCCTTTGTTAATTTTAAAGTTTGTCGCATGTGACATGCAAAGTATAAAAACAATCTATTTTGTAAATTTTTAATGTGAATTGTAAAATTGTGTTGTACATTTTTTTGTTTTGCAAAAATTTACATGCGTGTCGTTAAAATAAAAGTGGAGCAGCCATAGGATTTACTCAGCAAAAATTTTGAGATCACGTCATCAGATTGTTGGTGGGGACGAACAGAGACATTTCCTAAGAAAATCCTAATTAACCTAAATGATTTTTTTTATTTTAATGATGATAATGAGAAAAGTAAAAGATTTTAGGGATAAAAAAAATGTTTTAAGTGTTTCGAATGTAAAATGATCCGCTTTGTATTTACGTTCTACTCCAAAACACTGAAATTACTATTTCGTTACAAATCATTGAACTCTTAACAATTAGTTGCTACTATAACACAAACTTCCAGTCAACTAAAAGTGATTCAAAGAATGTGAA